CGCCACACAAAAAGCAGACGCCGGGGAGATTACACTGGTCCTTAGGTCAAACTAATCCCGTGCAAATAAGGCTTTAGAGTGTAAAAATATCAATAAATGTTAAAAATCATTAGATATTTGTAGTTTTATAAAATCACCCCTACTGTCCAGAAAAGCGCCCTCCAACAAACTTAAAGTGGTCTGTGGGCCACCAGTTGAGAATCCCAGTTGTAGCAGGTATTGTGGCTCCAGACACATTTAATTTATTGAACAAAGGGGCAGAAATGGCTCTTTCGATCGTAAAGGTTGCAGACCCCTGCGTTAGGCAGGAAAACAACAATAAACACAAACTTCTCAGGTCCACCTTCTAAATGAAGCAGTAAGATCCAACTGTCCATCATCTTTTACCCGCTTCTTCCTTTTCAGGTCACGGGGGTCACTGGTGCTCATACCCAGCCATCACTGTGCAAGAGGCGGGGGACACTCTGAACAGGTCTCCAGTCCATCACAGGGCCACAAAGAGACAAACAACCATTCATATCCTGATGCATGCTCAATAATCCAGGTAGAAACATTTTAAAAGTTAAATATGGTCCTCTGGACATTTAAAAAACAAAATTAAGCAAAAACAACAAAAAATGTAGAAACGTTTCATCTTTCATCCGAAAGACTTCCTCAGTCTGAGGAACCATTCACTCTCTCACTCACACCCAGGGACAATTTAGAGTTACCAATCAGCCTAACATGCATGTTTTTGGTCTGTGGGAGGAAACCGGAGTACGCAGAGAAAACCCATGCATGCACGGAGAGAACATGCAAACTCCAACCAGATTGGCCCCCAGCTGGGATTCAATCAGGCAACCTTCTCGCAGAGAGGCGGCAGCTCTACCAACTGCGCCACCGTGCTGCCCATAACATCCCATCAGCAAATAATTTTATACTTGTTCAAGCACAAGACAGAAACTTGTAACCAAGGTTTTTGTCGTTAAAGTATAGAATAAAAAGGTTGTGCTTTAGCTCAGTTCAAATTTAAATCACAAAATTACATGCAAATCTAACAACGGCAGAAAACTGCACACAATTCCCCCTTTTATCTCAGAGGCAGCGTGATGAGAGGTGGGTTTGTTGGTTAAATTTTAACTTAAAAATAATGACGACTGTAAACTGAAGAAATCCTCCTTCACTGTGTACACAATCTTGTTTTAGGCAGATCAGAATAATTCACCTAGCAATAGCTGGCACTTGCTGAAGGACTTGCAAACTTTGGGTGTTAAACACAAGCTAAATGCAGAACACAAGTACACCAGATCAGCCACAAGCAAACCTACCCTTTCATGTCCATGGCCTACAATCACACTTATCTTTTTTATTTTATGCAACGCCTAGCAATACACCAAGAGAACCATGTAATTCATACTGAAGAAAATTTGCAGATGTTGTCATGTTAAAAATAGAATTTTAACTCCATGTAAAGTTTTCTATTGTATGCAGATCTATAATTTTGCACATCTACGACTCCCTTATGTTTCAGTACAGGACAGGACATATCAAACCCATGACATCACCAAAGAGAACTATAACATCTACATACTATAGCTGAAGTAAAAGTAATGCATGGCATGGCAAAATAACAAAATTGTCCCTGAAGGCAAATATTTTTTTCTGTTTTGCAAAAATTATTGTAGCATCAGCAGCATAAAGAAGAAACAAAGGTTACCCTCGAGTTGAACAAAAGCACAGAGCAGCATGACAATGGGGGAGACAGGAAGAAAGTGCATGCTAAAAATAAAGTACAGAAAGAAAGAAAAAAAGGGCGACATGAAGATACACAATCTGCGTGAAGTTTACCTGCCACGACTTGCTGAGAAGTCCTCTTCCATGAGGACAAATTAAAACACTCGCACTTCAAACGATAGGAGGTAACTACACAATAATCAAAAATGGGAGGAGGCAAAAAGACACACTGACAAGGAAGCAAGAAAAAGAATAAGAGAGCATATGACGCAAGCTAGAATAAAGCTAGAGGGTGGTTCTTGCTAACAAACCATTTTACTCTTGTCAATCTACATTTGTCATTCTATTTTTCTTTGTTTGTTAGCCACAGAGGCTAAAGCATGAAAGAGTTTTTACTTTGTGTTGTTCTGCATTGTGACTTCCTCATGTTTTCTAAGGCCAGTTTCCCTGTTAAACACAGAGAACGAACTGTACTCGCAATAGAAGAACTCTACAGCCAGAGGTTTTGTTTAGGGTGAAGTGACAAAACAAAATAACGAGGAAAGGTTCTAATCTAGTGTGCAATCACCACAAGTTACACTAATGTGTCCATAGTTTAAAAAAAAAAAACTGAGAAAGAGGACGAAATATCTGGTTTTAAAAAAATACACAAGGAACTCACAGTCATGGGGGAAAAGTCCACCCTCTCAATTCTAGGGTTTTACACAGTTTGACACAAACATGATCTGGTCCCTAACAGGTTCTAAAATTATTCAGTGTAAATATAAAAAGCACACAACAGATTCCATGTCAGTATTAAACAAAAATGAAGCCAAAACAGAAAATTTGTGTGTGAAAAACTATCACTTTTAGCAGTGATAACTATGTAGTTTTTTTTGTTGTTGTTGTTGTTTTGTTTAACTTTATCAGTTTCTCTCATGGATTTTTTTTTTTACCTGGATTACTGAGCATGCATCTGGACAGCTTCTCTCATGATTGAAGCAAAATATTGGCCCACTCTAGTTCCGTTTATTGAAGGTTTTCAGACCTTTGTTTCTGCACAGCACTCAAGTTCACACTACAGCATTTCAATTGGTTTGACATCTAATCTTTGACTTGAATATTGTGATACCTCAATTTTTTTTTTTCAGTCATTCAGTTGGTTATTTGCTGCTGTGTTTGAGATTATTGTCACCATGACCCAGTTTGGTCCAAACTGCAGCTGTCAGACAGATGGCCTCACATCTAACTCTATAATATTTAGATTTACGAAAGAGTTGACTCAGTGGCAGCAAGGCACCCAGGTCCTGTAACTGCAAAACAAACACAAACCCTCTGCCCTCCACCACCATGCTTGAGCTGGTGTGAGGGGTATGTGCTATGTTGTGATTGGTTTAGACCAAATATGGAGCAATGAATTATGGTCAAATATCTATAATTTAGTCCAATCTGTTCAAATAACATTATTCCAGATGTTTTGTGGTCCAATTCATTACAAATTTGCAAACCAGTCATGCTGCTATGTTCTTTTAAGAAAGAATGTGTTCTCCTGCAAACTTCCTCAGCAAGCCATACTTGTTCAGATGTTTTCTAATTGGACTACCTTGAATTTAAACCTCTAACATGCTAAGTGAGGCCAGTAGAGTCTGAAAAGCAGTGGTGGTCAGAGCCAACCAAAAAGTTAGCTTCCCTAACCCATATTGCGTTAACTACAAAAAATTAGCTTCATTAACGCTAAACAGGTTAAAAAATAGTATAAGCTAATGCTGAACCGATAGGACGACTGTCACTCAGTCTGCCTCACACGTCTTCGTCTCCTTCCAATGAAAGTTGTGTCAACTAGGGCTTTAACAGACTACTCGAGTAATCTACACATCGATTCCTAGGACACCTATCCAGGTTTTTAATTTTATGTCGAGTATTCGTGGTGACGTCATTACGCCGCTGTTACGTCATCGCGTCACGTGTCATGTGATCCGCACCCGGCGCGGGTTACAAAATGGATTTCTCCAAGCAGACAGATGGAGCAGAGCAGGCCCAGTCTTGGCAAACAGGTAGAAATGCATCAATAGTCTGGAAATATTTCACTAAGGATGAATCTTCTGGTTCAACTACC